CCTAACCCCAATAACCTTAATCCTAACCCCAGTAACCCTGATCCTAACCCCAGTAACCCAAATCCTAACCCCAATAACCCTGATCCTAACCCCAGTAACCCTGATCCTAACCCCAGTAACCCAAATCCTAACCCCAATAACCCTGATCCTAACCCCAGTAACCCAAATCCTAACCCCAGTAACCCTGATCCTAACCCCAGTAACTGTAATCCTAACCCCAATAACCCAAATCCTAACCCCAGTAATCCTGATCCTAACCCCAGTAACTGTAATCCTAACTCCACTAATCCTGATCCTAACCCTAGTAACTCTGATGTCAACCCCAGTAACCCTGATCCTGACAGGTGTTTATGTAGAAAGGGGTAAATGGTGTAAATTGTGTATATCAGTATAAATGCACCTTGATCAATAAATTTGCGACATTAAAAACTTTTAAAGAAAGCTCAGTTTTCTTTCTCTTCTCTAATTAAGACTTGTTTCTGTGACTCTGAGAGGAAGTGGAGATCAAACATGTCGACTCACGCCATTATAATAAAGCAGCTGTGCTGTGACAGGAAGTGATTCTCCTTCACCAGATGGCTGGGTGACACTTTCAACATGACGAGACGCCACCGCTCGTGGTTTACGGTACATCAGGAGTGTTTCCACGCTGAGCGATGGCTTACACACCTGTCGTCTATGAGTGTGTGTGTGTGTGTGTGTGTATTCCAAAGTGCATGATGGCACTAGAAAGTGGAGCATCTGCTTTTATGCAAATACTGAACAGAAAAGTGTTTAATCTGAGCTGAGCTGGCGGTGTGTTGCAGGAGTAACGCAACGCCACTGTCTGTACCTCTGCCTGTCTCAGTCTAGAACACATTATCTGTTCATTCTGTCTTTATTTAAAATAAAATCTGTTTAACGCCTGACACTGTGCTGCAGCCCTGTTTCTGATCCACAATCCATCATTTAGCTCCTCGAATAGAAAAAATTACACTGTTTAGAGTTGTTCTGGATACCTCTACACTGAGGTTACGCTACAATTTATCAGGATTCAAGTATCAGTGACTGCAGTGATGGAAATAGTGGCCTGAAAAAAACGTTTCTTTTTAATGTAGATGGTTGAATAAATAATTAAAGTGTACAGAATTCATTTGCTGTCATTAATTTCTGACGACTCTGGATAATTTAGTTGTCCTCCTGAGTGTTTTATTCCTCTTATACCACAGCATTTTACCAACGATGTTTTCGGTCTCTCTTTTTTCTCTATCTTGAAGTTAATAAGACAAAAAAAACCGCAGCTTCTCGTGTTACCGAGAAACCG